TTGTTTCCTTAATTTCTGCTTTTTCATTGTTAGTGCATAGGGATGCAAGGGTTTCAGTGTGTTGAGGTATGTTCCCTCTATGCCTGCTTTCTGGAGAGGTGGTGTGCGTTTTTTAATCATAAATGGGTGTTGACAAAAATGAATTTTGTCAAAAGTTTTCTCCGCATCTATTGAGATAATTATATGGTTTTTATCTTTCAACTTGTTAATATGGTGTATCACATGGACTGACTTGTGAATACTGAAGAATTCTTGCATCCCTGGGATAAAGCCCACTTGGTCATGATGTATGATCTTTTTAATATATTGTTGGATTCAGTTTGCTAGAATTTTGTTGAGGAATTTTGCATCTATGTTCATCAGTGATATTGGCCTGTAGTTTTCTTTTTTTGTGGCATCTTTGTCTGGTTTTGGTATTAGGGTGATGCTGGTCTCATAGAATGAGTTTGGGAGTTTACCTTCCTCTGCAATTTTCTGGAAGAGTTTGAGTAGGAAAGGTGTCAGCTCTTTTCTAACTTTTGGTAGAATTCACCTGTGAAGCCATCTGGTCCTGGGCTTTTTGGTTTGTTGGAAGATTTTTGATTACAGTTTCAATTTTCATGATTGTGATGGGTCTGTTCAGATTTTCTCTTTCTTCCTGGTTAAGTTTTGGAGGGCTATACTTTTCAAAGAATTTGTCCACTTCTTCCAAGTTGTCCATTTTATTGGCATATAGTTGCTAATAGTAGTCTCTTATGACGTTTTGTATTTCTGTGTTGTCTGTTGTTATTTCTCCATTTTCATTTCTGATTTTGCTGATTTGATTCTTCTCCCTTTTTCCCTTAATGAGTCCAACTAATGGTTTGTCTATTTTATTTATCTTCTCAAAGAACCAGCTTTTAGTTTCATTTATTTTTGCTACAGTCTCCTTCATTTCTTTTTCATTTATTTCTGCTCTGATTTTTTATTTCTTTCCTTCTACTAATTTTGGGGTTCTACTGCTCTTTTTCTAGTTGCTTTAGGTATAAAGTTAGGTTGTTTATTTGATGTTTCTCTTGTTTATAAGATAGGCTTGTATTGCTATGAATCTCCCTCTAAGCACTGCTTTTACTGAATACAAGAGGTTTTGGGTTGTCATGTTTTCATTTTCACTTGTTTCTCTGCATATTTTTATTTCCTTTTTGATTTCTTCCATGGTGATCTGTTGATTATTCAGAAGCATGTTGTTTAGCCTCCATATGTTTGTGTTTTTAATAGTTTTTTTTTTTTTTTTTGCTGTTGCTGACATGTAATCTTACTGCATTGTGATCAGAAAAGATGCTTGAGATTATTTCAATTTTATAAAATTTACCAAGGCTAGATATATAACCCAGGATGTGATCTATCTGTTCCATATGCACTTGAGAAAAGGTTGAAATCCATAGTTTTTGGGTGAAATGCAGGTGTCAATTAGGTCTAATTGGCCCATTGTATCATTTAAAGCTTGTGTTTCCTTGCTAATTTTCTGTTTGGTTGATCTATCCATAGGTGTGAATGGGGTACTAAAGGCCCCCATTATTACTGTTACTGTTAATTTCCCCTCTCATACTTGTTAGCATTTGCCTTATGTATTGAGTTGCTCCTATGCTGGGCACATGTATAATTGTTATATCTTCTTCTTGGATTGAGCCATTGATCACTATGTACTGTCCTTCTTTGTCTCTTATTATGGTCTTTATTTCAAAGTCTATTTTCTGATATGAGTATTGCTACTCCTGCTTTCTTTTGGTCTCCATTTGCCTGAAATATCTTTTTCCAGTCCCTCACTTTCAGTCTGTATGTGTCCCTAGGTTTGAGGTGGGTCTCTTGTAGACAGCATATACATGGGTCTTGTTTTTATATCCATTCAGCCAGTCTTTGTCTTTTGGTTGGGGCATTTAGCCCATTTACATTTAAAGTATTTATAAGTATGATCCCATTGCCATTTACTTCGTTGTTTTGTGTTCATTTTTATAAATGTTTTCTGTGTTTCCTGTCTAAAGAAGATCCTTTAGCATTTGTTGAAGAGCTGGTTTGGTGGTGCTGAATTGTCTCAGCTTTTGCTTGTCTGTAAATCTTATAAAATTTATTGAGACTGTTTTGTGGCCCACCACATTATCTATCTTGGAGCATATTCCATGTGCACTTGAAAAGAGTGTGTATTCTGTTGGTTTTGAATGGAATATCCTATATATGTGTGTATGCTCATATATATATGTGTGTGTGTGTATGTGTGTATGCTCATATATATGTGTGTGTGTGTGTATCTGTATGTATATATAAATTACATCAATCCTGACAAACAATTTTCTGTGCAGATGATCTATTCACTGATACAAGTGGAGTATCAAAGTAACCAACTACTGTATTACGGTCAATTTTCCTATTATTTGTTAATACTTGCTTTATACATGTTAGGTGCTCCTTTGTTGGATACATAAATACTTTTGAACGTTATATCCTCTTCTTGGATTGAGCCCTTTATCCTTATGTAACACCTTTTCTTTTTTTGTCTTCTATTAAAGTCTTTGCTTTAAAGTCTATTTTGGCTGATATGAGTACAGCTATTCAGCTTTCTTTTTGTTTCCATTTGCATCAAACATATTTTCCCAGCCTTTCACTTCCACACCATGTATGTCTTTGGGTTTGAAGTGAGTCTTTTGCAGGCAGCACATAGATGGGTCTTGTTTTGGTGTCCAATCAGCCATTCTGTGTCTCTTGGTTGGAGCATTTAATCCATTTACATTTAAAGTGATTGCTGATAGGTATGCACTTTTATTGCCATTTTGTTAATTATTTTCCGGTTGGTTTTGTAGTTCTTTTCTGTTTCTTTCTTCTTTTAGTTTCTTCCCTCATGGTTTGATGATTTTTAGCTTTGTGTTTGGGCTTCTTCCCCTTTACTTTTTGTGTATATATTATAGGCTTTTGGTTTGTGGTTATCATGAAGTTTACATATATGGATCTATCAGCAGACTATTTTAAGCTGATAGTCACTGAAGTTCAAATACATTCTGAAACTATGTTTTTACTCCTCCCTACTCTCAAACCATATTTTATGTTTTTGATGTCACATTTATATCTTTCTATTCTGTACACACAAATAACACTCACTGTATACAGTTACATTTGATTTTACAATCACTTCACTTTACAAAAATTATTTTTTGTCATTTAACTTTCACTTTTTAAATGACAATCATTTGCCACTTAGAAGATGACCAAGGACAAGATAGATGGATGGCATCACTGACTCAATGGGCATGAGCCTGAGCAAGCTCCAGGAGATGGTGATGGACAGGGAAACCTGGTGTGCTGCAGTCCATGGGATCACAAAGAGACGGACATGACTGAAAGACTGAACTGACTGTACTTTTCACTTCAGTTATTGTATTCTTCAGTTCTGATGGATTCTTTTCTTCTATTCTCCAATTCCTTGTTGAAGTTTTCACTGTTTTCATCCATTCTTCTCCAGACTAGTAAGCATCTTTATGATTATCACCTTAAACACTTTATCAGTCAAATTGCTTATCTGAGCTTTCATTTAGCTCTTTATCTGAGAGTTTCTCCTGTTTTTTCATTTGAAACATATTCCTCTGTCTCCTCACATTGCCTAATTCTCTGTGTTTATTTCTAGCTATTAGGTAGGTCCATGACATCTCCTAATCTTAGATAAGTGGCCTTATGTGGGAGATGTCTTGTGGGGCCCAGCATCAAGGTTCTCTGTGACAAGCAGAGCCAGATGCACCAGAAGTATCTCCTATGTGTGGCCTTCTATTGTGGTGAGGCTGATTTCCTGCAGGCACTCAGGCAGGACAGACTTCCCAACACGGCTGGGTGTGCAACCTGTCAGGCTACGACTGTTACAAGTCTCATGACTGCTGGTGGGCTGTGCCAGCCCTGGGTGCTAATATGTGAGAGAGGCAATTCCAACATGGTGCCCACAAGCTCAGGATCACAAAAATGGCTGCCACCAGCATCTCAGTTCTGGGGGGAATCCCAGCTGCCTACTGTCTCCTAGCAAGGCTCTCCATGAAAAGTCACTGCGTCTGACCCAGACAGCTGCCAAGCACTGCCTCTGTGCTGGGACTTGAAGCAAGGATGCTTTTGGACACACCCGTTAAGAGCAAAGTCTTGGTATATCACAGTCTTCTGGTTCTCCCATACATAAGCCCCACTGGTATTCAAGGTCAGATACTTTGGGCACTTGAACTCAACTATTCTTGCCTGGAAAATTTTATGGACAGAGAAGCTTGGTGGGCTACAGTCCATGGGGTCACAGAGAGTCGGACATGACCAAATGATGCATGTGCATGCGTGCACACACACACACACACACATACTTGGTTTAGGACCTCCAGGATGGGGAGCCAGATGTGGGGCTTGACCCCTCAGGGAGGATCTTCACTGCTGTGATTTTCCTTCTACTTAAGGACCCCAAGTGTGGGTTCTGACCAGACCACATCTCTGCCCCTCCTACTCATCTTGTTGTGGTTTCCTCTTTACAGTTGTAGAATATGTTCTCTATCAGTTTTGGGGGCATTCTCAGAGACAGCTGCTCTGAAAACAGTTGTATTATAATTTTGATGTGCCAGGGAAGGTTGTAAGATCAAGGTGTTCATACACTGCCATCTTCATTCCTTCTTCTACAATATCCTATCTTATCACCAATGTAGACTGTAACCATATCTTGACCAAAGAAAACAGTATATGTATAAATGTTCTATAAACATTAAAACCAGCTGAGTCAAAGGTACTGTCAATATCAGGATTCACAATGTTAATTCTTAAGAAGTTAAAAAATGAAAACCTTCTGTGGAATTAAAAGTGAACTATGAAGGACAATATAGACTTCAATGAGAATATTAATATTGATTGTACATTCTTATCACAATATCATACTTGCTAATACAATTCAGCTAAATTAAACATTTTGCCAACATTGCCTCCCAGAAATGATATTTTAACCACTAAAACATAAATGAAAAATAGAAATAAATACTTACTCACAATACCAAACTGTCCCCAGAACAGAAGTATAGCCAAAACTGGGAAAATAACAATGAGGATATTTTCATTTGGAGAAAACCATGAAACTGGGAAGAAAGAAAACAAAAATCACAATTAACACTCACTATAATCACTTTAACCCCTAACTGTGACTAGTCAACAACATATATTATTGTGGAGATGGAAAATAAAAATAATTGAATTAAAACTTCAGCTTTAAAATAAGTAAAAAAACTACACATATCACTTACTCATACAACAAATTTTACTTCTGAACAAAAAAGTATTTATGTAAGTGCTTTTCACCCCATTTTCCCTAACCTATGACTTCTAGAAAGAGGCAGTATGGCACAGAAATTAAGAACAAGGTTCTAGTTCTAGAACAAGCCACAGTGTCTGGCTTTGAAAAGCAACTGTAATTTACAATCTCTGTGACCTTGAACAGTCTTAACCCTTCGTGTTCTTCAGTGTCTTCGTTGTTACACTGGAGTGTTATGCTGTTATACTAGACTATTGTGACTGTTACACTGTTGGGACTGTTACACTGCTGCACTGTTACACTAGACCACTGTGACCACTGTTACACTGTTGGGACTGTTACACTGCTGCATTGTTATACTAGACCACTGTGACTACTGTTACACTGTTGGGACTGTTACACTGCTGCATTGTTACACTAGACCACTGTGACTACTGTTACACTGTTGGGACTGTTACACTGCTGCACTGTTACACTAGACCACTGTGACCACTGTTACACTGTTGGGACTGTTACACTGCTGCACTGTTAGACTAGACCACTGTGACTACTGTTACACTGTTGGGACTGTTACACTGCTGCACTGTTACACTAGACCACTGTCACTACTGTTACACTGTTGGGACTGTTACACTGCTGCATTGTTATACTAAACCACTGTGACTACTGTTACGCTGTTGGGACTGTTACACTGCTGCACTGTTACACTAGACCACTGTGACTACTGTGACACTGTTGGGACTGTTACACTGCTGCATTGTTACACTAGACCACTGTGACCACTGTTACACTGTTGGGACTGTTACACTGCTGCACTGTTAGACTAGACCACTGTGACTACTGTTACACTGTTGGGACTGTTACACTGCTGCATTGTTACACTAGACCACTGTGACCACTGTTACACTGTTGGGACTGTTACACTGCTGCACTGTTAGACTAGACCACTGTGACTACTGTTACACTGTTGGGACTGTTACACTGCTGCACTGTTACACTAGACCACTGTGACACTGTTACACTGTTGGGACTGTTACACTGCTGCACTGTTACACTAGACCACTGTGACTACTGTTACACTGTTGGGACTGTTACACTGCTGCATTGTTACACTAGACCACTGTGACCACTGTTACACTGTTGGGACTGTTACACTGCTGCACTGTTACACTAGACCACTGTGACTACTGTTACACTGTTGGGACTGTTACACTGCTGCACTGTTACACTAGACCACTGTGACTACTGTTACACTGTTTGGACTGTTACACTGCTGCATTGTTACACTAGACCACTGTGACTACTGTTACACTGTTGGGGCTGTTACACTGCTGCACTGTTACACTAGACCACTGTGACTACTGTTACACTGTTGGGACTGTTACACTGCTGCACTGTTACACTAGACCACTGTGACTACTGTTACACTGTTGGGGCTGTTACACTGCTGCACTGTTACACTAGACCACTGTCACTACTGTTACACTGTTGGGGCTGTTACACTGCTGCACTGTTACACTAGACCACTGTGACTACTGTTACACTGTTGGGGCTGTTACACTGCTGCATTGTTACACTAGACCACTGTGACTACTGTGACACTGTTGGGACTGTTACACTGCTGCACTGTTACACTAGACCACAGTGACTACTGTTACACTGTTGGGGCTGTTACACTGCTGCATTGTTAGACTAGACCACTGTCACTACTGTTACACTGTTGGGGCTGTTACACTGCTGCATTGTTACACTAGACCACTGTGACTACTGTTACACTGTTGGGGCTGTTACACTGCTGCAGTGTTACACTAGACCACTGTGACTACTGTGACACTGTTGGGACTGTTACACTGCTGCACTGTTACACTAGACCACTGTGACTACTGTTACACTGTTGGGGCTGTTACACTGTTGCATTGTTATACTAGACCACTGTCACTACTGTTACACTGTTGGGACTGTTACACTGCTGCACTGTTACACTAGACCACTGTGACTACTGTTACACTGTTGGGACTGTTACACTGCTGCACTGTTACACTAGACCACTGTGACTACTGTTACACTGTTGGGACTGTTACACTGCTGCATTGTTACACTAGACCACTGTGACCACTGTTACACTGTTGGGGCTGTTACACTGCTGCATTGTTACACTAGACCACTGTGACTACTGTTACACTGTTGGGACTGTTACACTGCTGCATTGTTACACTAGACCACTGTGACTACTGTTACACTGTTGGGACTGTTACACTGCTGCACTGTTACACTAGACCACTGTGACCACTGTTACACTGTTGGGACTGTTACACTGCTGCACTGTTACACTAGACCACTGTGACCACTGTTACACTCTTGGGGCTGTTACACTGCTGCACTGTTACACTAGACCACTGTGACTACTGTTACACTGATGGGACTGTTACACTGCTGCATTGTTACACTAGACCACTGTGACTACTGTTACACTGTTGGGACTGTTACACTGCTGCATTGTTACACTAGACCACTGTGACCACTGTTACACTGTTGGGGCTGTTACACTGCTGCACTGTTACACTAGACCACTGTGACCACTGTTACACTGTTGGGGCTGTTACACTGCTGCATTGTTACACTAGACCACTGTGACTACTGTTACACTGTTGGGACTGTTACACTGCTGCATTGTTACACTAGACCACTGTGACTACTGTTACACTGTTGGGACTGTTACACTGCTGCACTGTTACACTAGACCACTGTGACCACTGTTACACTGTTGGGACTGTTACACTGCTGCACTGTTACACTAGACCACTGTGACTACTGTTACACTGTTGGGGCTGTTACACTGCTGCACTGTTACACTAGACCACTGTGACTACTGTCACACTGTTGGGACTGTTACACTGCTGCACTGTTATACTAGACCACTGTGACTACTGTCACACTGTTGGGACTGTTACACTGCTGCACTGTTACACTAGACCACTGTGACTACTGTTACACTGTTGGGACTGTTACACTGCTGCACTGTTACACTAGACCACTGTGACTACTGTTACACTGTTGGGGCTGTTACACTGCTGCACTGTTACACTAGACCACTGTCACTACTGTTACACTGTTGGGGCTGTTACACTGCTGCACTGTTACACTAGACCACTGTGACTACTGTTACACTGTTGGGGCTGTTACACTGCTGCATTGTTACACTAGACCACTGTGACTACTGTGACACTGTTGGGACTGTTACACTGCTGCACTGTTACACTAGACCACAGTGACTACTGTTACACTGTTGGGGCTGTTACACTGCTGCATTGTTAGACTAGACCACTGTCACTACTGTTACACTGTTGGGGCTGTTACACTGCTGCATTGTTACACTAGACCACTGTGACTACTGTTACACTGTTGGGGCTGTTACACTGCTGCAGTGTTACAATAGACCACTGTGACTACTGTGACACTGTTGGGACTGTTACACTGCTGCACTGTTACACTAGACCACTGTGACTACTGTTACACTGTTGGGGCTGTTACACTGTTGCATTGTTATACTAGACCACTGTCACTACTGTTACACTGTTGGGACTGTTACACTGCTGCACTGTTACACTAGACCACTGTGACTACTGTTACACTGTTGGGACTGTTACACTGCTGCACTGTTACACTAGACCACTGTGACTACTGTTACACTGTTGGGACTGTTACACTGCTGCATTGTTACACTAGACCACTGTGACCACTGTTACACTGTTGGGGCTGTTACACTGCTGCATTGTTACACTAGACCACTGTGACTACTGTTACACTGTTGGGACTGTTACACTGCTGCATTGTTACACTAGACCACTGTGACTACTGTTACACTGTTGGGACTGTTACACTGCTGCACTGTTACACTAGACCACTGTGACCACTGTTACACTGTTGGGACTGTTACACTGCTGCACTGTTACACTAGACCACTGTGACCACTGTTACACTGTTGGGGCTGTTACACTGCTGCACTGTTACACTAGACCACTGTGACTACTGTTACACTGATGGGACTGTTACACTGCTGCATTGTTACACTAGACCACTGTGACTACTGTTACACTGTTGGGACTGTTACACTGCTGCATTGTTACACTAGACCACTGTGACCACTGTTACACTGTTGGGGCTGTTACACTGCTGCACTGTTACACTAGACCACTGTGACCACTGTTACACTGTTGGGGCTGTTACACTGCTGCATTGTTACACTAGACCACTGTGACTACTGTTACACTGTTGGGACTGTTACACTGCTGCATTGTTACACTAGACCACTGTGACTACTGTTACACTGTTGGGACTGTTACACTGCTGCACTGTTACACTAGACCACTGTGACCACTGTTACACTGTTGGGACTGTTACACTGCTGCACTGTTACACTAGACCACTGTGACTACTGTTACACTGTTGGGGCTGTTACACTGCTGCACTGTTACACTAGACCACTGTGACTACTGTCACACTGTTGGGACTGTTACACTGCTGCACTGTTACACTAGACCACTGTGACCACTGTTACACTGTTGGGACTGTTACACTGCTGCACTGTTACACTAGACCACTGTGACTACTGTTACACTGTTGGGGCTGTTACACTGCTGCACTGTTACACTAGACCACTGTGACTACTGTCACACTGTTGGGACTGTTACACTGCTGCATTGTTACACTAGACCACTGTGACCACTGTTACACTGTTGGGACTGTTACACTGCTGCATTGTTACACTAGACCACTGTGACCACTGTTACACTGTTGGGACTGTTACACTGCTGCACTGTTATACTA